GCATATTCACAAGCATTGAAAGTGTCATAGATAATGAGGTGTTTCAAACCAATGTGCGAATGGATAGAGTTTAGAAGCTCTACTTCATCTTCAAATTCTTCCCATTCAATTCCCGCTGCCTCCTCTTCTTCTGAAGGTGTTAAATGTTATCGAATGGACCCTGCCCGGAGAAGAAGCTTTTTAATCTGGCTTTCATTTAGCGGCTCCTCCCTTGAGAAAAGCCTCTCCAATGACTGCTCCCCTGGCCCGCGGCTGTCTAGATTCTCATGCAATCGAGGCCACAGGGTTGTTTATCAAAGAGAAGAATGTCACGATGAATGTCACTCCATTTCTTACGAATAGCTCAAACTCCGAGTTAGATTTATGATAATAAAACTTTAAAAGCTGTTGACGATTCTATCCCTGCTCTCATCCGTGGGCTCTCATCGCTGTGTTCTGATTGGCGCCTGCAGCTCTATTCTTACAAATAAATTCCTCTCACAAAGTTTCCTCTCCTCTACTGGCAAAAACCTCGATTTTTCTACTGCCCCATCGATATTTTCTGTTAGTTGTAACTTGGCGCTGATAAGTCATCTTGCTTGAAAAATGGTGACGGTTTCCTTTCTGGTTCGTTTCTGCGGTTCTTTTTAATTGTAAAGTTGAATCTACCTATGTTTTAAAAATTCCGCTTCTATATGAAAGGACTTTCTTCGTATATTTACGTCGCAACTCGATGTTCAACTTGAATTCCGAGTCGAAGTCGAACTCTTACATCTTATGTGAAGTGCGATGTTTGAATCAATTAAATTCGACTGTTTTAGATTAAATGCGACTTTCGCCGTATCTGCAACTGAAACAGTCGAAGATTCGACTTAGGTTCGACTTTTGATTCAAACGTCGCATCTCACAGGTGCCGAACTTAATGCATGAATTATAAAAAATTGTTATGATTCATTTATTACCCACAACTCGCCAGGAATTCTGTGAATGCCCAGCGCGAAAAAGCCAAAACAGCACAAAAAAATGGTGGGAGACGAAGGAATTTGTAGTTCTTGCTTTGCAAAGACAAAATATAGTTGTTTGCCGAGCGATAATTACTTTGGTGTGAAGTGTTCGGTTATTGAAAACGAAAAGGGCACTCCTGGGTGGAAAGTAAGAAAATTTAGATCTGTGGCGTATTGTGGGTCGTGTTTCACTGAAATGATGTAACGTGAATCAAGTCAAAGTATCATGACGAAAAGCCAAGATGACGAAGCAAAAACAAACAGCAAAACCGCAAAACCATCGGTAAAGCAATTAAGCAAACACTCAATAGAAGTCTTCGTCTGAGCAAATAAGTAGTGAACCTGCGAATATTGACAGCGAACTGAGTTAAATTCGACGTTTGAATCAAATGCCGTATTTAACTATTTTAGTCGACTAAAATAGGAGTTAAGTTCGGCACAAGTGAAATTCGACGTTTGAACTGGGTCTTAGTTAAAGAATGGCAAATCCAAGTTTCATTGCCATTGATGATATTTTTGTAAAGCAATGTAACCATTCCATGCATTACTCATCAGGCCTTCTCAGTGTTAACAGAGACCAGGGAAGAAGTCATGAGAAGACAAAGACACTTGCTAGAACTATTCGAGAGCACAGACGCCTGTCTGAATGAATTGAGTGACAAGGACTACGCACTTCTGGAGTTGGGAGTCAAAAATCTCGAAAACCAAATGGCCCACCACAAACAGAGACTAGAGAGAACGCCATACGTCGTGCTCGTTGCAGGTTGGTTACTTATGATAAGAAATTTTTTAACATAACCAAAGTAAATTGCGCTCTGATTGGTTAATTTAGCGTCCCCCATTTGCTTATGGGTGTACGCTGCTGACGTGAGCAAATGCAAAGACTATTTTTCCACGCGCGCTTGTTTTTTCTGGTCACGTAAGATTTGTTAAATAAAAGCGAACTCTTTAGCTGCGATGTATCAATGTTATGTTATAAAACAAATGGTAAACACCACAGCGTACACTATTGAGTTATGGATGCACGCGGGAGGTTGCTAAGCACGAAAGAAGCGTAAGAGTCGCTCGAGGCGATAGCCGAGAGCGACTCTAGCTTATTGAGTGCTGAGCAAACCTCCCGCGTGCATCCATAACTCAATAGTGTACGCTCTAGTGTTTACCATTTGTTAATTGGAAGCTCATAATTAAGTAGAAGGTGAAGCATGGGCGTTTATTGTAGCTTAAATTCCCCTCCCAACCGCTCTATTCACCCCCAAGCAGACTGTCTGCCACAGGACTACGCCAATAGCGTGTAAAAGAGTAACAAGAGACAGGAAACGAAATACTTGGTGGACGTAATATGTCTTGCACAGTTTCTCCATGTCAATGTCTATTCCTGGTACTAGCCTTTACTTTTCCATTGCAGCATATTCTCCGTTTCTACCATGTCTTCGTGTTGTTCATGACCAGTACTTTAGACTTAATCGTGCATAAGGCTTTGGAATTCATTTCCTTGGCCTTCACCAGAGTAAGACTCGTCCTGCAGTAAATAGTGTAATGCTCAATTACATTGTCCTATAGATAAGAACCAGGCACCGGGCACCGGTTCGTGTTAACCAACTTTACGCAGCTTTTTCCATACTCATCTCCTCATTCGCCATAAGAGATTTGCTTAAGCCGCCTGGCAGACAAAACAACTATCAAACTAATTTCTAAACTCCACTGAAAAGTCAAATCCTTTACCTGTGGTCATACCTTAACAGAGTGTCTGAGATATTTCCTTTCCCCAAGCGATAAACGCAGAAGCTATCAATCCAAAAGAAAGAAACATTGCATATTATTCTTGTTGTTTTTTAGTTGTTGTTTTTTAGTTGTTGTTTTTTCTCTTTCGATTGAATTAACTCATCTTGATCTCAAAAATGTTATTTTGCATAAATGTCTGTAGTATGATTTCTAAAACTAATAATAACTCTCCAATTAAAAGGCGCACGGGAGGATATTTTACCCATTACATGTATCATCCTTTTATATCCGCGAAATACGTGTTTTGCATGATCATGAAAATATGCAATAGAAACTTTATTTCTTTAATGGATATTTAAACACAACTGATTTTGTGGTACATTTTGTTCTGGTGATTGCTCTCGACAGGTGAAAGAAATTCCAAAAAGAGCACGTTGCTGAGTCTGATTCTCGGGGAACAACTACTCCCTGACTCCTTTCTTGACACCTCTTCCATCATTTGCGAACTAAGATATGGAACAACCCACACGCTTGTAGCGCACTTTAAGGACGCAGATCCCAAAACAGGGCTTCACTCAAAGACTATTCAACCTGAAGAGATGACTGAGAATTCTCAACAAAACTTTCTTCAACAAATCTCCTCGTTTTTCCTGAATCAAGATCGGCAGGGTTGTGATAAGGTTGAGATCTTTTGGCCGAACAAGCTGCTGAAGGTTGGTAATAAGAAAGGTCTTGCAATGCACTATTCATCAACGGATTATATCTGGGAAATAATTATTTTCTTCACGGATTATATCCGACATATATCGTTTTCTTTCACAGTCTAACCCTTTAGGAGTACAGTTGTTGATTTTTTTTTTTTTTAAAAGAAAAAAGTCTATGGATGATTCAACAACGATAACAATTACAAATTTAAAATATTTATTTAAAAAAAAGTAGACCTTCTTTAAGGTTCACTTACCCATCATCCTTTTCTCTCCTAGGAAAGAATCGTTATAGTTGACAGTCCAGCATTTGGTAAATCACCCTCCGTGGACGAGAGAGTAAAAGTGTACCTTTCTGAGGCTTTCGCAGTTATCTGCGTCATCAACAGTTTAGCACAGCAACATGATGTAAGTCGCTTACTCAGGTAGCGTTACCATACCTAACAAGCAATGCTTTCATTCATTCATTCAATTTTGGGGCACATTTTCCAAACGTTAACTAAATAATAGAATTATCCTGCTGCAGATCAACTCGTAGCCGCCTTTTTATCATCGTATTTGATCAGATTAATGAGCAAAATTAGGCGGAAAAAGTCCAAAATAGGAATGGTAAGCTATTATCATTATCATTTTATCATGTCAATAACGTAACAGCTAAAGTTATCATCTCCATCAATCATTATCATTATTATTATCATCATTATCTTTATTATTTATCATCATTATTATTATTATTATTAAATATACACCACGCAAATGAATAGTGCTTTTTGCGCGTGCTGATTGGCTAGTTCGAAAGTCAATAGCAAGTAATATTCACCTGCGAGCAGCTGATGAGACAAAATCGCGCGTCATGAGCTCAACCGCAGACCATTTTGCGGTGTAATGAGAGAAGTAAACTATTTTTTTGGTATCTGTGTGGTATACGCTAAAAAAAACTTATTCACCTCAGTGTCGTTAAAAGGTGGTGGATATTTACCTCCACTTCGGTGAATAACTGTCAGCTATTACTTTTCGTCATCACTTCTATCGTCGTGGTCGTTATTATTTTTTTCACCCTCAAGGAATTTTCAATTAAAAGCAATGTACGTTTGTCCTTAGATGGAAGAACCGATCAAACAAAGCAGAAAAGTATGTCTTGATCAACAAAGTGAAACCTCGTCAATTTTTCCTCTTTTCTTATGTAACAACTGGAATCAAGTATCTCAAAAAGAGACTGACTCCATCAAATACTACTTCGTCAAGAAACTCAGAGAATACTGGCCTGAATTAGACCCAGACTCTCAAATCATTTGCATTTCATCGCCTTACACCGAAAGCGGTGAAAAAGCTCCCGAGGAGTTTGCGTTGCTGATGGATGGCATTAAATCCAGCGCCTTGCAAAGCATTAAAGCAACGCTGAAAAGGCAGTGGAGGTACGTTCTGTTGTGACCACAGGGTCTTACAAAGCTGCATGAGGATATCATGACCATAATTTATATTTTAACTTAACTGGATTAAGCATTTTTCGTGGTTAAGCCCGAATGCATTATTTCATCTCATTCCCCTCTAAATCTTTACTCTCTTTAGGAAGAAGACGTTCTGTGGCGCTCATATCTTGATCTAACGAAGCTCACACAGACGCACAGTGAAAACTATAATTTTAAACAGACGCAGACGCGAAGAAAATTAAGATATCTTATTAGAAGTTTTGTTGTGTAGTATCGCTGAGTATTTTTACGAGTTATGCCGTATTTTGACGAGCCCGTAGGCCGAGTCAAAATACAAATAACGAGTAAAAATACTCAGCGATACTACACAACAAAACGTCTAATAAGTTATTTATTATCCAACACGCCAAACTGTTATTTCAGTGCGGGCGAATTTCGCGGATATTTATTTACGGGAGTGCGTGACAGAAGTATGCGAAGCGGAACGGAATGGGCGCGTTGTCATGTTACTGTTTCTATTTTCTTCAATAAATGAAGAAATTTCCAGGTCGTCTAGCTGTTTTTCTTCGTTCGATTCATCTTATAAACTTGGATATATATTTTCCAGCCATTCTGACTCTTCGTCGTCGAAATATGATTCAAATTGTCCGCCATTTTTTTCCGTAACTACAATTCAACTCCTCGCTTGCGCGATGCGAGAAAACCTGTTTAACCGGTACTCTAGAGTACAAATGCCGCYTGATATTTGTACTCGTTTATGGCGTTATTTGTACTCTACGAAGTGTACTTGGATAATAATGGGTTTACTTTTCTATATGGTTATTAGAAAGTGCTTTATGAAGGGAATTTGGTGAAAGCCATACATATATTCCCTAAAGTCCAACTGCGCTCAAAATCCCCACACTCGCCATAATATCTTCCTGGTTTATTTTCCAACTTGTTTATATCTTAATATTTCATCCACATGGAATGATAACGCATGATATTCAATAAACGTTTTTGGTGAAAAAATTAACTTAAATTCTGTATGCTTTGTTTTCTCAGATGGCTTGACTTCGTCATTTCACGCATGATTCTTCACATGAAAATGGTCAAGCATCATCTTTGCCCGTCCAATGGTCGTAAAATCGTCTCTGATTTTCATTCTAAACGCCTTTGTGACGTTGAGAAGCGGCTGTGCTCAGTAGAATACGAGTTGCAAGAGCATTTCAGAAGACTGGCAGACAACACCGTGAGGACGCTGTCCAAACACCTCCAGTCTTTTGAAGTTATCGAGAAATTCACCTCGTGGCCGCTTGAAGATATTCCAGATACTGGAGAAAATTGGCAAGTAACGGAACATGGTATCCAAAATGCATTTAAGAGGCGACTTGAGAACACGATTGACGAGTGGGAAGCCAAGAACCACATTTTATCGTACACTTGTAGCTCTCTCGTCCAATTCTGCAACCAGCGATTTGATGAAGGTAAGAGTCTACTTCCATTCCGATACCTAGGGAACTCCGTTATCACGGATGATGCTGTTAGTGGATTAAACATTCGTCATTCTTCGAACGACTTCGGCGCGACCCAAAAAGTTCTGATCGGGGTTACAAGTCCAATTCTGGTTCCAGTCAGCCTAGCAGTTTTGGTCCCAGTCTTTGGTGTGATGAGACTTAAAAACAAAGTAACAAATAAGATTGATTCTAGAAAATACGAAAAAGATAAACGTGGCTTCATCGTGCAAGCCTCCCGTGAATATCTTTGTAAAGTGGCTAAAGAGGAAGAGCTATGGTTATTCGTGGAAGAGCACCTCAAAGATGCTCGGGGATACCTTAGACAGGTTTCAGTTCGTATGCGCGAGCTCATAGCCGCTGACAAAACGCTATGTCAGCAGCTCAGAGTTGAGACTCGCTCAGAGGAGGAAATTAAAGAACTCTATGGGCTTTTACAAGAGATGAGTGTGAGAATAAAGGAAAAGTTGGCGCTTTTTTTCATTAATGATGTACAGAACATGGAAATAAGTCGTAATGACTTGAAGTGGGTAGAAGATCAAACTTCACTTCTCGGAGAAGGAGCATTCCGTTCAGTTTATCGTGGAACATTCGAGATACCGGGAAAAAGAGAACCCCTACAGGTGGCTGTGAAATTGTGGAAGGAAGAGCTAGACGAATCCACCGCGATTGGCTTCCTCTCTAAAACAGAAATACTGAGGTCATTTACTATCAGAGTATTGTTTAACGCTGGAAGAGATTGTGAACCCAATTTTCTATATCATGTATCGATAAAGCTAAAAAAGTATACTTTTTATTTACAATTTAAGCAGGTGTTTTTTCGATCAATTTCTTTAAGGATCCAGAAGGTTAATATGATCCATTCAAAAGGTGTTAGCCAATCATAGGATTTGTCGCAGTGGTAAACATTTTTTGTGTTTTTCACAAGATAAAAACCAAACTTAATTTCCTTCCCTGAACCATTTCCCCTAGTCTCTTACAGTCTAAAAGTTAAACATGCGCAATGAATGAACGCAATATCCTTCTAGGTTGCATCAACGGAAAAGTACATCCAATGAAAATCATGTAGTATGAGTTGCAGTAAATACATGAAAAACGGCTCAGTGTCTAAAGGAGACTTAGTTACATGGGAATTCACAACAATATCAATTTGGGTGATTTAGGAAGAGAGGGCCGAGATATATAACAAAGCGGTTAACTGACGCCGAAATTTCGGGTACATTGAAATTCGAAATGAAATGGAATAATTTATTAATAAAAGGTGGATGCTATATTTCTTGTAGGAAGCTTGACTTTCCCTTCATTGTCAAGTTCTTTGGGACATCACTGCTGAATGATGGCGATCGATTACGGGTGATCCATGTTATGGAAATTTGCGAGGAAAACTTGATGAATCACATCTTTCAGAATCCTGAAAATATACCTGTATCGTCCGCTATATCTACCGCCAAGAAAAATGTACTGTGCTGGGCGAAGGACATAGCTGCAGCTCTAGAGTTCATACACAACAAAGGTATTGTTCACCGCGACCTGAAGCTGGAAAAAATTCTGGTGAGTTTAAATTGGTCTAAGCTCTTTTGTCAAGGATTTAATTCATACAATTGCTTGGATTTCAATCCCCTTATGAGGATCAGTTCATTTCTAATTACCTACTATATTGATCAATCGATAAAGATACGTTTATTTTATTTCATGTATTGGTTCAGTGTAAAAACGTTCGGATATAACACGCGTTGTCGTTGTGTTGCAGAAATATTGTGCTCTATCAGAGTGCAAAACACGGAGCTGAGCTAAAGCTGTCACGACATGAACTATGTCCGACTATTTCCAGCTTTTTTGCTAATATTGAAAGTGAAATTTCGGAACAAACGAGCCAACATGTAGTTTCTTGTTAAAAAAAAAAAAAAAAAAAACAGAACAAAACAGGAATGTTCAAAAAATATGACCAAACCCTTTAGAAAATGGAAAGTAATGCCTGCCAGGAAAATTTAACGGATTCTATATTACAAAACAAATAGAGAAGCCTTGACTGTGCTCTGTTCTGTTGTAGAGCATTTAAGAAGCGGCTAGAGCACTCAAGAAGTGGGGACAAACACTTTTTTCCTGCTTTATCCGCCTCCTGCGTGCTTTCCGGAACACAATCAAAACGGAGCACAATCAAAGCTTCTCTTTTTGCTGATTAATATCCGTTTAAGTGCACATGGAATTAATTGATTAAGGTGTCATGAGACGAAAAGCGAATGCTCCACGTCTGATTTTGTAGAGAGGGCCCGAAAAGTTTTTCCAGATAAAACATCCGCGTTCATTATTAACCTCTTTTCATAGCTTTCACAAAGAAGTGTCGTTAAGGTCTCCGGTTTTCGCCTTTCTGAAGACACTAAGATGATCATAGACACGTTGACCGGAACCGATGCCTACCTGGCCCCGGTAAAGATCCTTTACAAGGCCGACATATACAGCTTTGGTATAATGCTTTGGGAGATGTGGTATGGTAAGAGAGCTCCCCTTGAGGAAGAAGGACATGTGTCGGACAAGAGACCTTCATTTATAGAAGGCGCGACGAAGCCTCCAACTGACTGGCAAGATCTAATGCTGCGTTGCTGGGATGGAGAACCACACAACCGACCAGATGCGGCAGGGTGTCACAAGGTGTTGACTGTCCTCTCCCAAGAAGTTTGCGCACCATCTCTTTGAACTCTGGTTGTTAGGCAGCCATATTAGACGTATTCTATATTTAATGGTAGAACTACTGGGAAACAACAGCCATTAATAATGAGATAACAAACTCGTTCCGGCTGATTGCTATGGTAAAAAAAAAAAAGAGAAGTACAGGGAAACATGCGTTATGATAGGATACAATACGTGGTAGACTGAAGTACCCACAAAAAAGTCTCTTATCCAGCAGGCACAGACTTTTTAAACTTTTATTTTATTTTCAGTGAAAATTTCATTAGAATCATTCTCAACTTATGCATATGTCAGTGGTGTTAAGTTTTTTTTTTTTTTTTTCTATATTACATTCATGATTTTTCCGTTCTACCTTTTTTTTGCAGAAAGAAACTTCCTATAGGAGTAAAAAAGAACTGAGGTTAAGAATCGTGTCAACATTTTGAAATATAAAGAAATGATAAGTATTCAAAGGTACAAATGGTGTGAGCAGAAAACCGCTCAGAGACCTAACAAGATTTACAAAACTGAGACGTGCAAATTTGCATATGAAAATTGGACTCTCTGTATTGGTAAATGGAGCATTTAGGACGAGCACTTTGAATAAAGCCGTGATCAATTCAATGGTTTACTTCCAACAACTTCTAACAATAAACGTTTAAAAAAAGAAAGCTTACCGTTTGTTGCAATGAAATCAAGACCAGGCGAGAACTTAGTGCTGGAAAAAATTTCGGGAAAGAAGAAAAATAGAACAAATTTGAAGCATTTCGAGGATGACTTCCAATATGAATTTTGGAGTGGGTCCTTGACAATGAAAATCGTCCAAACAATATTTGAGCGACTCATTGGTTGGAAATTGACATCTAGGATATTTCTTGCCAGATTGCCAACACAAAGGTACTTCCGAAAAGCGGATATGAAGCAAATGAGAGACCAAACCGGAAAATATACTCGAAGATGGTACGAAAGGACAATATTTTTTATTCTTGAATGAGAGAAGTCGATATTCGTGCTTCAATCGTCAATGCCTCAAGAAGATAAACGGTTACAAGCGAAGTTCACTGCAATTTGGGATCTGAGTCATTTGAGAACTAGGTGATATTTCCTAAAGCCAAGGTAAGAGAATATTCAAAAGATCTTAAAAAGAACACACATTGTCGAATGTTATCTCCATCTGCTTATTTGCATGTAAAGGTCGTTTGACAAATTTAAATCATTAAAGCTCCCCATATCGTAATTATGCCATTTATAACTAAAAAAAGAGCTGTCTCAACTCTAAGGCCATGGGAATCGAAGTTTATTTTGTGATTTAAAATCCAAATTTACGGAGGAGATAGAAAATGTCTTAAATTGTTATGGCAGTAATCTTTTGAAATTCTTACAATATGCATAGCAACTGGTCAGCCATCTGAACAAGACCAAAATCCTGTGTTTGTATTATCGTCAAAAACAGTGTTTTTAAAATCGCTTCGTACTGAAACATCCTAGGGTTGAATGAGGATTTACACAACCAAATAGTGACTCTTTTCATCATATCTTGACAGAAACCTTCCAATGGCATGACAATAGTAAAAAAAACCCTTGTAATCAATATGAAAACGCCTTCTTCACTTTTGACCCATATAAGCTTATGCTCTGGTGCCCGGCCGCCTGGGTCTGACTCGTCCCCAGCAATGCCATTCGTCTCATTGTTTCATGAGAAGACGCACGGGAAGAAATATGCTGGAACCCTTCCCGTCGTCCTTATCGTTCCGTTTGACTATGACTAGCCTTCATCTCATTTGCGCTTAAAAAAAAGATCACCAGGAGATGAAGAGTTCAGCGCCCGTGTAATTCGAAGAAGTATGGGTTCGAGTCATGTCTTGAATGAAAAACTCCCTTATGCTCTCAAGTGGATTATTCATGATGAAACGCTAATCGTTTTGCATAACAAAGTTTTTGTCGGGGTCGAATGAAACACCGGGTTATCTCCGATTTGTCTCCTTATGATAAGGGTCTCTTTGAGGCATAAAAATCTTTAAATAAAGGGGTCATTTTCACTTTGAGCTCAACATTTCCCAGGAAGATGTTATTCTCAGTTTAGGGGAGTTGCCATTCTCTCTTGAAGGCATTACAATGATTATCTCTTTGCAGGCACTATCTCGAACTGCAAGTTTATAACAATACTTATCGCGAGTAATTCAATTATTATCATACGTAACTTTGTCTGACTCTATTCCTCCGGTAGTTCGCAACATTCGATAGTGACGCAGCCGGAAATATGTTGTCTACGATCATGTTCGCGACCACGGAAAGTCACGTCTTTTCACACACACGCACAATTGTCATCACTTTAAGAATATTGAATTTCTCTTACTTTTATCTGCTGTCAAAGTTAACACTCGCGGCCACGAAAACTCTCATTTTTCACACTCGATCGTCATCGCTTAATTGTATCAAATTTCTTTTATATAGACATTTACAACATTTTGTAGTTATCCAAAGACGACTGTTATATCATACATAAACAATCACAGGAGCCTCATACGAAAGGTCACAAGAAGGAAATACAATAACGGTAAGTTCGAGAAAAAGAAAGAAATACTTAGCTTTTGAAAACTGACAAGTATGTTGTGTCGCAAGCAGAAACGAAATTTCCATGCAGATCTGTTCTTAAAGCTGAAACCACGTGTGAATATCGTAGTTTTCGCCATTTGGTTTTTTAAAAATTTCTTCCTTGGAAGGTCTAGCTAAGAACGTTTAAAAATCTATTTATCATCTCACTTTTTCAATTCGAGCAAGCAATCCGAGGTTTCAGTGGATATAAATAAGACTGGATGTTTTCTTGTCATCTCCGCCTAGGGGCTCCATTCCGTGATTTCGCTTGTCTACGCAGAGTGTCTGTTTAGGCAAGGTTTAAGTTCGGAAAGAAATCGCTAACAGTATACTTTTGTAATTGGTGACGTGTAAGGTGTGACTTGAAAAATAATGAGGCATAATTATCCACAGGACACATAAATCGGAACACACTAGTCTATCCATTAGAAAACAAGCAAACAAAGAGTTAACATATGTATAGATATAAACTTCATATATTCATTGTATCCAAAGAGTTAACATTAAAAAAAAAGAGTGAGAGAAAAAGAGAAAAAATGGATTTCCACGTAGTTAAATCCGGACCGCTACTGCATCATATAGAAGTTGATTTTTTTCTCGTAATTTTACTTTATTCCTTTAAGTATTACGTGCAGCGCTTAACGTCCTGATCAAACGGATTTCTCGTTTCCTTCGACTTTACGCCTCCTTTATTTTTTCTTTTTATTTTTTTTCCTTTTTTTTGCGAGGTCGCAGTACGCGTAGTAAAGTTCATCATTTTATTTCTATCTTTTAAAATCATTTCCGGCTTTCCGTAGATTTTCGGCTTCAAAAAGAAGATATCAAAGCACGTAAAAATTTTTTTTTTTTTTTTTTTTTTCATTGTAATGGAATTATGTATGGTGACTAGTGACACGTTTCGATTGACTTGCATGCCCTCTTAGCATTTGGTTAAAATCTTCAAAACAGAACGTCAATGTTACCAATTCAATCATGTTTAATTGTATCAGTTCACTTGAGGCCTTTCGTGTATGAGGAATATGTGGGAGACTTATCGACAAATGTCGATTATCGAATAATTGTATAGCGAGCGTCATGTTTTATCAAACGTCTTATGTCTACAAAAGGCCTTCGTGAGAAGGAAAAAAACAATAAGAAAATGGAAGATTGGCAACATCATAACCATTTATAATCACTTTGGCTAGCACTTTAACGAGGTAAACTATTCGAGGTAAACTATTCGGTAAACTATTAGGTCACTATTCTTTATCCGTAAAGCATTCACCTTTTTCAGGCGACCCTAAGGCTTCGATTCATGGAAGTGAAATAGGCTGAAAGTTCTCTTGCCGCCTCTGCCCTGGGGTTTGGTTTTAGCAACTTTGAAGCGCAGTCTATTCGTGATTTTCACTTTTATGCGTTAGTTTAATGAGTTTTTCAGTTCCGAAAGAATAAAAGGTAATTTATGACTTAAATAACTGAGGCTAAAGCTTCTGACACTCATAAAACAAGACCTAGCTGTTTTAGCCGAGAATGCGAACAATATAGCAACGCGTGCTTTGCAATCCGGGTCTCCCTTTGTCAAGCGTGGAAAACGATGGTGGATTGCTCTCGGGAGAGGAGATCGAAGGGAAACCCTTTAATCTTTGTTAAATCCGCATCCTATCTCCGAAACGCCACTTTTCGCGCTAGAAAACAAACAAGCCAACAAACAAACACGTAAAGAAGTAAACATTCAGAAGGAAGAGAGAGAGGTCTTTTCAAGTTGAACAAAAATCTGCTGCCGAGCTGTGGGCTACCCTTGCTGACTTGAACTTGTTCGCGCCGTGATTACGCTTTATTCTATAAAATATTGCGTGCAGTGCTTTAAGTCTCGATGACAGAAATTTTCTCTCCTACCTCTTTGCGCCCTTTTCTTTTTTTTTTTTTTTTGGCGAGGCATGTGTAGTAGGGTTCATCATTTTAATTCTATCTTTTGAAAGCATTTCTGGCTTTCCGAAGATTTCGGCTTCACAGAGAAAGAAACCTGTGCTCAAAAAAATAATGTTTATCATTGTTGCAGAATTATTATGTATCATGCATTGACGCACGTTTCTTTTAACCTATATACCCTCCCAGCATTCAGTTAAGATATGAAAGTGTAATGATAACTTCCCTGTCTTTGTCAATGTTGGGATAAAACGGTAATGTTTTTTTTTTTTTTTTTTACCATAACTGTTCTTTTGAGGCTCTTCACGTATCAGGGACATGAAGAACTGAAAATATGGAGCTTTTCAGAAAAACTTTGAATAATTGTATGGTATGCGGCATGTTTTAACTAGAAGTTTCATATCTAGCGAAAGTAGTTTAGAGAGGAGAAATTCAATGGAAATTTACTGATCACTTTGGGTAGCCCTTTGACGAGGTGGATTAGGCCACTATCAAATATCCGTCCCTTGCTGCTTAGGGCGGGATCAGGGAAGAGAGTAATTTTACAGTTTAAGTGTTATATTACCTATAGACCTGAGATGGAAACGGTCGAAGATTGATAAACGGATCGAAAGAACAATTTCGTTGACGGTGTAAAATTCAGACGAATGAAGAGTCACGTGATTTAATCTAAATATAACTGGCAGCTTTTTTGTCTTATTTTTAAATTTCATAGCTGTCTCTCTTGTAATGCTTTGAAAAGTTAAGAAAGCTCGACCCCATAGCCTCGTTTTAATTCTACTCTCATCGAGATACCGCTGGATAATCGGAATGGCGTGTACATCTACGATAAGGGCTATTGTTGGCACAATCACCTTTGAAAAATGTTTTCTTTGTAAAGAAGTAAACTGTTCCTTTTCGCACTTTGAAGGAAACGAACTTTGCATCCCCTGATACATTATTCAAGGTGTGCTCCGCGTTTGTCGTTCGTGCAATCGTCTTCCATTTTATGCGAAAGGTAAAGGAAAGGTTACATCAAACAGGACACCGGCACTAATGGAAAAAATAATCAGGATTTGTTTAAATCTTCCTTATCACTACACACACATATTTTTATTTTATCAGGTTAGATACTGATACCGGTTCTGTGATATTTCGCCGGACAACAATTCACCATTGTACATCTCAGAAGGTTCGGCTCAGGTTTTCGTAAACCCTCTGATTTTACTCAAGGCTTTTTCGGCCATGTTCTAAAAGACTAAATCTCGAATGTCGTTCTCCTAATTTACTTCTCTTGACCCTGCGTGGGTTTTCAGTTACAAAGCAATTATTTTTTGTATAAACCGCTTACAGATCGATACAAAGTACACAGTTAATAAAGGGTCGTGAATACAATAATATTAGCTTTTAACCCTGCGGAAAGTGAGGATCATCAGATATCAAACATATCACAAATCATGCAACAATTTCCGTTCAAGTCTGAGCTGGCGTGAGAAATGCGTGCCTCGTTCCATGTGCAAATGAGCCCGCTATCACGTACTTCAATCCCACGAGACCTTTAAGATCAGACCACTTAAAGCGTGCCAACCAAACTTCGCAATACATCTCCATCATTGCTGTTCCTGAGGTCTTTAAATCTCCTGACTTTCTCCTAGACAAGACTGGGAAAGGTAGACATCTGTTAGCTGGTAGGAACTCTTGTATGTTCTCAAAATACATTTTCAAGACTTACTGAAAATATGATGCAATTATGTCTAAAATAATAGTACTCAATATTTATCAATGTCTGCAATTATTTCCGTCCGGCGCTGTTAGAAGGTACACACTGTATGCAACAAAACTGTGCTTTGTTTTTCCTGTTTATTAATTTTTGTCCGTCTATTTGGACATTCTGTAAAGAAAAAGTTCCCTATAGCTTTTCATGTAAGCTTTTCAATGTATATTGTAAAACCTGCAGCAGTTTCCTTTTGACTGAATCCGCAAAAAAAAAAGAAAAGAGTTTCGGCACTCTTATCGCGAAGATGATAAAAATTGTGGTGAGAACTTTAAAAATCACGACTTAAAGAAATGTCTCCTGTGGGGTTTACGTGCTTCATTTTGGAATCAAAGATAAAATGCTTTATATTAAGATTACATTGTAGCTTTGAATTGTTATAATCTAGTTTTTTCTTCCTTATTGACCTTTTAAATGTTTCCTTGTAAATCTCAGTTGTTCAATTATCAAATAGCGTTTTGTTTTACAAACAGCCGGAATCTACACAATACTATATGTTTGCTTTGCAGATGTAAAGCCTTGAATTGATATTATTTCACCTTTTTTTCCCAAAGGCTAAGAAATAGGCTCCAATTTCTTTCTCAAACTCCTTTTAATTTGATTTAGTTTATTTCGGGCTAATATGATCTTTCGCTGATCCAATTAACTCGTAATGCTACATTGGCATTTTCAAATTTCAACAACAGTGTAAAACAAATATCATTACCGGAAGAGAAAGCTCAATATAAGAAATAAGATCCTTAAATTACTTTAATCCATCTTTTAGAAAGATGACATCGTGCTTGGTAGGCTAAAGGTGGGTGAAGCAGCTTACTTAGCAAGGCAGATTTACCTAGAGAATCCCTTCGAAGGTAAATAACACAAAAAAGTCACTCTTTGTGAGTACAAAACGCGCATCCAACGCTTGTTATCAGTTCTTTTCGTACTCACGTCATCTTACTGACAGCACGAGATTTACTTTATCAGCTGTGGAACTCAGACATCTTTTTTTATTGACCATTCTCTTTGTCATCCTTCATTGTTTGATTTTGTGAATATATTTACTTTGTCCCATGGAAAGAATAGGCTTTGTGCTGAAAAAAAAAGTTTAAAGTTGCGAAATTCGACTCCAAGCTTCGAAAATTCCACTAGATATGGTTAAAATGCCCTGTGAATAATTCTAACTTAAAATTTCTTACTTTTCTGGTAATTAATTTTAAGAATCTCTACTTGTTTAGCAAAAAATTGCATCCGATGCTAAAAGACACATTATTTGCTTGATATCGAATCTTATCGATCTACAATCATGTAAAATCTCTGCCATGTAAGTCCAACGGAAACTAACTTTCAGCTGCGAAACAGGAAGGGAAAAACTGATGTTTTAATATAAAACGGTTGCTTTATCATTCATCCATTTTCACTCGTTTCTTTTATGGTCGTAATAGTCAAGGTGCTCTTATCAACGTTAGACCGGAAATAACATCGCCAATAGGTTGAATGCCTTGCGAGAAGTTATACCTAGCTTAAATAGCTGGAAGAGGTCGATTACTAGCCTAACTGTATACAAGTTTCCGCTAATGATGACACGAAAACTTTACACGTCAACATCAAACTTCGCACGACACGTCAGAGATCAGTCAGCATATCTAGCCTTTTGTCTCCAAACATTACTCCTATTCACATATGTAGCAGTGAGGATGATATTAATGCTTCGCATTTTTTTTTAATCATTATTTGACACAGGATGGATAACTTTCCGATGTGGAGCACTTTCCTTCTGATTATCTTGCTTCGAGCGCGTAAGTATCAACTGTTTTCTTTTAGTAATTTCTCTCAAAGTTTAGTGTGTCTAGTATTAATGAGCCTGCTCCTTCTTGAATTCAAAGCTCACCGGTAATGAGCTTAAAATATATCATATACTTTCTAATTAGCTTATTGACACGCGGTCAGTCATGTAACGCCTCCGGGACGGGCGTCGCCTTTGGCGCAACTTCGCGTGCCTTGCTCTCGCGTTCTCTTACCACTAATCCTGCGATTGTCTTCGCACGCACATAAACTGCAAAAAAGACGCTTTATTCTTAGACTATTTAATAAAGATTAAGCGAAGTTCTCTATTAAACCCAGAGAGAAAAAGGGCTGCTTTTATGATAAAAGCCAAACGAAAGAACTTGATGATAGTTGAATTAAGCAGCCTTGTAATTCTTCCACCCATCTCTTTGAATCTACCAATAAGTTAGTGGCCTCGAACCACGATATTCGAACTTCAATTTTGTTGATCAGTTCTGCTTAACAAGCGGTAACATATTATCATGAGTTTTCATTCACCACAATTCTTTGAAAAGACGTTTTCAGAGTCGAAACTCAATTTACAGAAAAGTCTCACTCGTTTGCTGCGAATGTGAGAACATCTTTTCACAGACGCAGCAAGAAAGATAGAAGTTGATCAGACCCCCCTTGGTAATAGCTAATCTCGTTGATCGGCGAAAAACTATTCAAATAAGCACTGTTTATCTTTTTTTTGATCATAGAGGTAAGAGGTGGGCCAACAGAGGTAATGTATACAGCAAGTTTTTATCAGTTATTCTCAACCAGTTATTTACACTAGGGCAACAACATAGTCAATCTATCAGCTAAGTTGCCATCTTACCAGAGCTCATGATCATACCGGCTGCTGTGGAGTGAAGCCACCGTGAGTATAGTTCCCCTTTCCCATCACCAGTTCCCTCTAATTTCCAGCAGAGCAGGGAAAAACCAGGATGAGGAGAGCAAATCAAAAACAAGAAAGTTCGTCGTGGTCAAACACAATTCCTCACCATTCCTATGTCTTCATACTTATTTTTCTTGATTTTTCTAACAGAAACTTCATCATCACATGACCAAGAGAGAGATTCAATATTTCTTCAATGTGGACGATCATGACAAAGGTGGGAAACGGCTGTTCGTCTATGTATCAGACAATCAAAACTGATTCAATAACCCAATCCGTCAGTAAAGCAGTCATTATTTCTAGATTGGTTTACGGTGGCCAATGACATTATCCACTCAGTTGATAAAACCAAATTATCTTGCTATAACCCCCCCCCCCCTTCCACCGACGCAGCATCACTTCCGACTGTTTCTTTTACACAATATCGATCTTTCATTCCTCCACAGTTCCTGATTATGAAGTCTCAAGTCCGTACCAATCCAATGACGAGGGAGAGTTTGTTTCATATTCTCTGGATCCCGCCAGAACAAAACGCAGCCTTGGATCCGATGATTTTTCATCTTTTAAACTGAATGCATTTGGGACAAAACTTCATTTAAAACTGAAGAGGAATGAACACTTGATATCTCCAGATCTTGAGGTTCTTCGTGAGAACAGCGATGGATCCATGACGTCATATCCAGTACCAGAGAACACGTTCTATCTTGGACATGTCGCCTCGGATCCAAGCTCCACGGTCGCCGTCAGCAATAATGGCGGACTGGTGAGGTTCTCTTTTATTTTGAAATCTTTGGCTTGGATTGAAAGAGCGAAAAAACAAAAAAGCAAGATGAATATAAGCATTATTATTCAATAATCATAGTAACAATAATGAAAATCATTATAATAATGAGTATTAACTAATTATAGGAAACGAGTAATTTCTAAATATGTACAGCTGGGCAGAATAGATGCCAACAACAGCTAGCTGGGTAGGTAGGTAGGTAGGTAGGTAGGTAGACTTTATTTAGCCAGGGTGGCCCATTCAGCAACGAGGCTGATATCCAGAGGGGCCCTGGAACAGCAGATGAATTGAGCAGAACACAAGTTAAGATTAAACTAGCCGGGAAGCGGGCGGAAATGGTTTTGCTGCAGAAAAGGAAAAAGGAAAAATTGAAGTGGAATGAATTAAACTTATTTCTGACTTTCAGACGGGTATCGTGAAAACATCACGTGATACGCTTTTCGTCCATCCCCTTCCCGCGCATTTGGCTAAGCACGTGACTAGCAGTGAAGATGCAACCCCTCATCTCGTTCACAGAAGATCTGTAAAAGAAGAAGTCGTATCTCTCAAAAACGATGTCATGCACGTGGTAAATGAAGGTAACTAAGGTTCATATTAACTGTGATAAATATTATTTTCTTTGAAACCTTTTACACCTTAAGCACCAGTATATACATATTCTCCACACGGTTCTCTTTACCTTTCCTATGATCTTGACAAGGAGAATTTGTCTGAAAATCAAAAGCTTCTTAAATCGTAGATCATTTCCTTTATTTTCATGACCTTTACAGCACTGTGCATAAGTAATGCAAACCATTATCGTCGTTTATCGCGATAATCGCGAGATATCGGCGATATTTGAGCAATATTTCCGTTGGACAATATATCGGCGATATATCGCAGGGCTATTGTTTTAACAAACACGAGATATCGCCGATATATCGTTGAACTCCTCGCGAATTATCGTTTTCCCTGAGCGATATATCGTTTGAGCTCAGCGATATATCATTTGATTTAAGGGTGATACTGTAATGTGAAATTAGAAGGCTGTCACTCTTAGGGTTAAAAGATTAAGAAATGTATGCTCCGGAAACGATATATCTCCTATTTCTGTCATTAAAAAGTATCTAAAGCTGTTTAACTGATCGGCAGGTAGTAACGTACCCAACTCCTCAACAAATGCGTTAAGTTGTGCAAATTATTTTTCTATTAAAACCACCACAGCCTGGTTCACAAATTTCAGTTGCTCTGAATATCACAAGAAATCATTGTGCAAAATGTATGGCATCAAGTGTTCGCCCAGGACACGCAACTTGAGACTCTTGGCATTATCATGAGATTCCTTGTAAAGAGACCAAAGTCTCGATCAGTCTAATAGCCTCCATCGCGTAGAAGGCGATTGCTGGAATTACATCACTCATCATTGAGTTTTAGATCCCTCAGACCAGGAAAGTGGCCGCGTCAAGAGATCCATGATGTCCCAAAGTCCTGTTCCAAAATTTAAAACACTTAAAGTAGCGCTGGTGTGCCCGCCGTCTCTCCAGGAGAAATATTCCAACGGAACCTTACAAGTAATCACTGGGGGCTTGGTGAACTACTTTATGCTTCTTTCCAATATGGTAAGTCCTAACTTTTCACTTGCGTGCTTTGTGTTTTATCAAAAGGTTCCATATTTCATAGGTGGGGCATAGGGAGAGAAATTTAAGGTTTGCCTCAAAATTTATAGAAGGCGTCGCAGCACAGGATAGATAAAGCAATATCTGGTTTATCAGTTTAGACTTGCAACACAGTAGAAAAGAGACTCAAGTGTGAAATAATTGCTGTGCGTATTGCCTAAATACAAAGCTTATTGCCTGGAAGATATTTGAATGCGAGGAGCGAGGTTTCAACTCGTTCTCAGTGGAGTTTCTTGCGACTTTCGCCTCACAGATAAAATCCCCTGTTTCCCTCTGACTCATGCAGGTTGCTGGTATGTTTCAAGATCCCTCTTTTGGAAAAATAAAGATTACGTACGTCGTCAACAGAATTCTTATTATCGATCCTACCCAAGTAAGTGTTCTTGTCGGCGTTAGGCAACGATACTCTGATGTTTTATTGATAGGGGTAAATTTTCGTGGTCTACTGACTCACAGAGCTTTAGGAAAGTTAATGATTTTCTTACAATTTATGCCCATTTTGCTTTGAGTGTGAGCATACTGAGCGAGCATATGTTACTAGCGAATTTTTATTTATTTATTTGTCCGTTTCTTGTCTACTCTGCAGGGACCAGGCATTATTTGTCGCAAGGAAGGGGGCGGGGTGGAGGATTTTAGGGATGATCACAAAGTTTTAAGGGGAAAAATAGGGGAATCAGTCGTCGCCAAAAGAGCATAAAAGGGCGCCTATAGAAAATTCGCGGTAAAGGAACAGCCAAAGAGGGCGTGGGGGGGGGGGCTCATAAGAACGTTTCAGAGCCTTAGAAGGGATGAGCTAATTTGTTTTATCGTAACACAAACAACATCCTTTAGCCCCTCCCCCCCAGAGATAAATAATTACTTTTCCTTTAATATCCCAATTTTCATTTAATTTCTTTTCCGTCCATATTTTGTTTTATCCTTCATTCTCGCTCCAATTTGCATCTAGTATGGCTTCAAGCAGAGTGACAGCAACAGCTTCAAACTGGGCAGGACAGCCAGCAAGATAAGGAGAGAGAACGCCATAAAGAAAGTTCCATTTGATGTCTTCAGTTATATCTCAGAGTAAGTAAAAGATATCTACGGCTTTATATGGTTGCTACTCATTTAGGTCGCCGGAATATATTCTGCAACACTCCCCCCCCCTCCCCCCTCCCCTCCGTCCACTCTCTAATGTAGCTTTATCAATAATCCAAACCCAAAATAGAACGGACTGAGTCACTGATCAACAAAATTTCGAAAATTTCACTTGACATGGGATCAGTGTTTTAAAGGTTCCACTACTTCGTTAGAAGAAAATCTTATCATATTATTATTAGGTGTCTCCTTATCTAGAGTTTTTGATCGAGCATTTGACCGCTCTATCCTTCCTATCCTTCCCAAAAGTTGTAATTCACCCGCCACCGGCTCATGATTTACAAACTCTTCTCGTGTTCTACCAACATATTGCGTGGGTTACAATATGTTTCAAGTGTTTATGGCTTTGCCAGTGCAATAAACAACAGGTTTGACCAGTCAGTGCGTTCGTAGATTCCCGGTTATTTTATAATGTCAAATACATTAACTCCAATGTTGTGTATCTAATTTTTCTTTCAGTAAAATCGCAGGCGGAGGTAAGAGTTATTCTTTTACTTAGATACCATTATGTAACATTTTCTTTTTTCTAAATGGTCGCTGCAGCTATTTCAGGGCTTCGAGTTTAAAACAAGTTATCTCAAAATTTTTATCTGCAAGAATAGATTCCCTGAAAACGCCTCCAAATTTGCGTTAAACGCGTACATTTCTGCGAAAGGATTTACAAAGGACATCTGCAAAGATTGGGGAATACTGATAATTTAGAAAAAATTCGAATTCCCTCAGGCTTGACTAAAAAATTTTAAAAACGTGTTTTCTAGCAGTTAAAGTAAGAAACAAACTTTTACCCAGAAACAGAACTCGAAGTTCAAAGTAGGAAAGAAAAAAATTGCCAGTTTAGACCGGCAGTGTTTTAAATTTTTTTATTAAAAAATGGTGGAAATGATACGAAAAAAGCTTAGGAACAGAAGAGCTAAATTAACATCAAAATAGCCCAGTAACTACACAGTGCTCAAAACTGTTTCTATATTACTCATTTGAAATGCAATATATATCTTTTTCAGCCCTCGCCATCGCCAACCAGATTTGTGCAGCACCTACAGGGAATGTGAACCAAGATATCGGTTTGCCAACGTCATTACATCTTGCCCACGAAACCGGTCATAAGTATGTTATTTCGGTGTTGTCTTCAGAATCTGATGAATAATTTTGGCCTTTTGGAAAAAACCTCGCCAAAAAATACTTTCCCATTCACAGAACTAAACACAGAGAAAAATCCAAGAAAGGTAAACAAAAATAAACCAACTCAGAAAAGAACAAACCCACATTGAGAAATTTTAACACAAAAGACAGATTCTATACAGTTGCTCTAAAAACTGTTTATCCAACCGAGACATTCCCTCGGAAGAGAAACTTTCGTTTTAGTTGTAAGAAACGTAATCCGGTAGCTTCCAGGTTTGCGCTTTCTGATCGTTCTTGAGAACATCTCTATCTATCAGTGGTAAAGTTAGACCGGTTACTCCTCGGCTACGTGCTCTTGAGCCTTTTACTCACAAGAAATCATAAGCAATTCTCCTTACTGTCTGCCACACAATTCTTATGATGTTAGTTTGGAGAATTTGATATTGGATCAATTGATAATATCCTAATAGATATTTTTCCTTATTTTAATCAATTTTGTGCTTGATATCATATTGATACTGTTAGGGGAAATTGGGTATTGGTCATTCAGACAAGGTAGTTGAAAGATTAAGGCAGTGAACAGTTAAACTTAAGTTAACTCTTTACTTTAGTTATCACTGATTCCGAATGAAAGCTATGTTTGCATTGAACGGTCGCTCTGCTAACTTCGGTTTTGTTTTACAAGACTCGTACACTGCATAAATAAACAAAGTTTGGTAACGCAAATAGAACTAAAAATTCCTCAGTAGAAAAGACATCCGACTAATTATTTATGTTCTTTGCACTTGTACGTTACGCATCAATCTATTCAAAGCATGGTCATCCTCCCCCGGCAACCCTGCGCATGCCCGGGGGTGGTGAGTTTGAATCTTGCCTTGGTTGGTTGGGGCATTTAAACCGAAGTGTCAAGTCTTTCAAGTGTCGTAAACGTGTTTTAATGGGAGAGTTTAAATGTAAGAAGTCCACCTTTGGGAGCGAGTGGCCAAGAAAGACGATTTTAAAATCGTACAAAGATGCTTACAAGCCAAAACCCAAACATACATGACTTTGCTAAATTCTACAATATTCGTTTATCACAACAAAAAATTGTTCAACATTGGATGGACATTTGGACGCAATTTTGGCCTGGGGCTGGAATTTGAACAATCCAATCTTCACGAGTTCAAATGCCCGGGGTTTGCCCGGGGGGATATTGAAGCTTCGTGTTGATCGACTCATTGTGAGCCCCAAGGTCTGGTCAAAGATAAGCTGTGTAATACTTGAACTTTAAAGTCACTCATACATGATTTTGTGGCTGTATATATTTTTTTCAGCATGTACCTCGATCATGACGCAGGGAACTGTGCTAAAGCATCTTACATCATGAATGCGAGACTTCCAGGAGGACCTCATGCCACAGAGTGGTCAGAATGCTCCAGGAACGTCATTCAGCGTTTCTTAGCAGACGAGTGCGTACATAAAGAAACATAGCCTACCGGGGTCTTATCTGGTGGGGGATATTAGGCGTACCCGTAAACCCCACTTTATAGGAAAAATTGTTAAATCATACAAATCTTATAATTCAGGTCCGTGATAGTGCGCGAATCCGGAGAATTCATAGGGCATCAGCCCCCCTGAGTACGAGCCCTCTGATACAGAGAGTAAAGCAGCGGTATAAACCACTTCTCATATGGTACACGGTACATAGTGAGATAACTAGAAGCCGTCGCCGCTACCCTTTCTTTTGCTTTCCTCCATAACTCTTTCCAGCTGATCCCGCTCGCTTCAATCTCCTTTTCCTCTTTTGGTCGCCAAGATTGGTTAAGTGTGTAAATTTCTGTGATTTGTTGGGTTTCTTACAACAACTTACAACTTCCTTTGTACAGAAGAAAATCTAAATGTTTAGATGATGGTCCCGTGCGTGATCACCCCACAATTCCCCCCAGTATAAGAGGCAAGCTTCCCGGGAAAATCATTGATGGCGATGAACAGTGCGCACTGATGTATGGGGAAGGCTGGAGACGACATAATCTGGTAACTGTTCTCATTTGTGCTACATTTAACAATCAGTGTTCTAATCAGACCTCCAGGAGAGTGTTCTAGGTTAGCACATCCTTTGAGGTTGTATATTAGTGAATACAGCAATAATGATCAGAAGTTATTCAATTCACTTGTTTTTGCGATTTACATATTTATATATAGTATCCATCTTTGTCAAGAGTGAAAGAGAATTGTACAAACGTAGATTAAAATCTTCATCATATCCCTCAGTGAGTACATGCGCTGATTGGTCAATTTGGCGGGCTACGTTTCATTGCATGGCCACCTAGATTCAAAAGTTTGTTTAAATTGAAATTTTCCCCCTCTGTTTAAACCATGGGATATAACAAACATCGTACCAACGTATCGTCTTTTCGGTCTGCACTGTAAGTTACGGAAACTAGTTCTTCCTTAAAGTCTCGTGCGCTTCACGTTTTGGGTCGTAAATCAGGGGAAAAACTTGGCCCGTTACTTGCAGTACAGACTTCAAACTTGGTTGATAAGAGTCAAAATTCTCATGTGTTATTTCTGAGATTCAGTCCATTTCGTCCTCCAAAACTAAAGTAACACCAATCAAACCAAAACTTTATCGATTGATTTGGATTCAACTCAACAAAACAACATGGTTAGCTATAACACCGATAGAGACAATGTCAATACACACGTGCTGATTTTTTTTCTTTTTTTTTTTTTGTATCATGATCATGATTCTTTGTTTTTTTCTCTTGTTTTTCTTTCCCTTTTTTTTAGGCCAACTGTGGTTACTTACTTTGTATCAAGGCTGGTACAGTGTTGGGAAGAAATACGATTGTTGCAGATGGAACGGAATGTGGATTCGAAAAGGTAAACGTGCGACGTATTCCACCTGAGAAAAAGGTATAATTGTATAATTCGGTATCGACCTTAAACAATTCTGTTTACCATTTCAGTTATTGCTTTATTTTTAATTGATTTATTAATCCGTGACTATGGCTGACTAGTTGACGACGAGTCGGCGCGACACAGATTAAATACCTCGCTGACTGGAATCGATGACTTATCATTTATTCGTTGATATCTCAGTACAGGACTCGCCAACGCACTGACTCTATGGCATAAAACGTTGACTTGATTACAGGTTAACTCGTTGATTTGCTGACTCACTAACCCGATGGCTCATTACATTATCTATTCATTTACTCTTTTACTCTTCTACCCTTTTACTCATTTACTCATTTACTTCTTTACTCTTATACTCTTTTACTCTTTTGCTCTTTTGCTCTTTTGCTCTTTTGTTCTTTTGCTCTTTTGCTCTTTTGCTCTTTTGCTCTTTTGCTCTTTTGCTCTTTTGCTCTTTTGCTCTTTTGCTCTTTTACTCTTTTACTCTTTTACTCTTTTACTCTTTTACTCTTTTACTTTTTTGCTCATTTACTCTTTTACTCTTTTACTCTTTTACTCTTTTACTCTTTTACTCTTTTCCTCTTTTACTCTTTTACTCTTTTACTCTTTTACTCTTAGATTTACTCGCTGACCCGCTTAACCACGGACCCTTTGTCCCACTAATTAGAACCCGACTACTTCGGTGACTTATAGAGTTACCTATTATGTGGTTAACACATTCATTTATTTTCTCATTTAAGTGGTGCATTAAGGGAAGATGCGAATACTCAGGCATCATGGAAAATATCGTCTGGTCGGAATGGGGCCCTTACTCTCAGTGTACCCGCGATTGTGACGGAGGTATTCAGTTCAGAGAGAGGCAATGCAAAAATGCTAAGTAAGTCCTTGCCTTTTCTCTTATCCTCTTTACTAAACGGGGACAGGATTTTTTCAACAGCAGGGTCCTGTACCAGAGTCCTATAGAAATTAATGATTTTGCAATGTAAGAGAAGAACAATCTCACACTCAAATCTTAAATGCCAACCTCCCTCACCCTTACACTCTCAAGATCTTACTAGCAATTCTCCTTACTGACTGCCATACAATTCTTATGATATTAGTTTAGAGAATTTGGTATTGGATCAACTAATAATCCCCTAATTGATATTTTTCTTTATTCTCATCACTTGTCTGCTTGACATTTTATTGATATCGTGAGGAGAAATTATGTCTTGGTCACTTACAGAAAGTTAGAACGAAAATAGGTAATGAAACATTTGCTGTTACGACATCAACCCTTTTGTAATTCTCTTTTAGCAAGTTTGAAGAAGTAGTTAAACCCGTTCTAAAGTTTGTTCTCATATAACTTTACCATGACTGTATTTTCCCAAAAAAACTTAGAGGTTTTGGTACCTCACGGGCCTAACGTTTGCAGCTTCTGAGGCATGAAGCAACTAGGAACTTGAATATTGCGACTCCCTTGGAAAGGATGTCGGTCAATTGTAGGTTACCCTCCCCTCCCCCCCAGTCGCCCACCCCCACATTCTCTGGTATCCATTTATACTCCAGTAATGAGAAAAGCTTTGTCACAAAAATGTGTTCTGCTTAAGAATACAGAAAAATAACCCAGAAGCAAAATATTTGGATGCGGAGTCCAAAGCGCTGATTAACCATTAGGCCGGTATGTCTCCTTAAAATCACTTCTCCTTTCATGGATCCCTCCTTTTTTCATATCCCCAGACCTCAATATGGAAGACATTGTAAAGGCAGCAAGAAAGAATACAGAATTTGTAATCCTCAGGTTAGTGCTGCGCATGTATCGACAACTAAGGCATTTCATTATATTTTACACAATTTTTCGGCTTTAAATATCCAACGCGTCGATGCAGTCGTAGATGAATTTTCACAATAAATTCAGAAATTACTCCAAGCTTGGCATTTATTTACAAGAGTCAGATGGATAGTACCAGCTGATCCTTTTATACAACGAAAAATACAGTGATTTAACGACGGTTTGTTGCATATTTGCGGCTACTTGCGGTAAGGTAAATACACACTGCTAGCCACCTATACTAACGTGAATAGTTGTTTTAGGGTAAATGAAATAGTAAGGTAATAGAGCACAAAAAGATGATTTCTGCAACAAATCAACTGAACTCACCGAGCAAACAGTTGTAACTTATAGTAAAATACAGGAAAAGGTAAAAATAACTTAAAACCAAATTTGGGCTAGGAGCGATTAATTAAACAGGAATTACCTAAGGGAAATCGGCAATTAAACAGGAATTACATAAGGGAAATCGGCAGTTAAAGGAATAATACAATTAACACATTACTAACACAATTAACACATTACTAACATTACTGACAAATCGCTAAAATTCCATAAAATAAAATAAACAGAACAAACATGTTTTAAGTAGGAAATAAGCCTAAGTGACTCTGTCACATATGTATA